CACTGCAGATGGAAGCATAGCTGACAGATGAGAAACAAACTTTCCCAGCAGGAGCAGCTACTTCTGCAGATTTGGAAACTTTTTCCTGTTTCTGGTATATTTGCAGTTCAAGAACTGGCTTATTCAGGGCTGAGAAACGATAAAGGACTGACAATAAAAAAGAAGGTGTGCTTTTTATCTTTCCATAATCAGGGAAACAAACAAACCAACCAACTAAGGCAGGAGAGGATGAGATGTACTCATTCTAAAGTCTTGAAAGGGTAGTTTCCGGAAACACTCCTTCAACTCACTGATCACTTCTTGCTTTGGTTTCATGCACCAGGTGTTTTAACCTAAAAAGTATTCTGAAATTTACTTTTCGTTCTGTATTGTGTATTTGCAAGGGAAAGAGATTTTACTAATAAAATCAATTCAAACTGCTGGGGTACTTTAGCATGACATTACAGTTTTCATCCAAAAGAGCAATCATGAGTAATAATTTAATCACCACCTCTTCAAGAGCAAATAGTGATTCACCATTTTTCTAATGTAAAAAATATCTAAAAACTAAGACTAAAGGCATACTATGTTACATAATCGATCAAAATAAAAGTAGCAAAAATAGAGTATTTGATGAGTAAAAGAATAACCAGATTTAACAACTGAACAGTGGTAAGGAAAGCTATACTTGGTTTCATAGGTGCTGTTCAGTAAAACTTGACCTTTTTTTCAGGGAAACAGCTTAAAAAGAAAGGTAAAACCAGAAGAAAATCAATTTCTGAATGCAAGTGATCTGCTGTCACTAAAACCTGTGATTTTGATCCTTCTGACCTATCAGTCTCTGGCTATCAGTAGAGAGACCCTAACACAAGTACCCAGCTCCACTGGTGTGGAACCTGTGAATGCTGGTCTTTGTGTGCGAGTGCCAAGACCCCCATTACAAGCTGCAGCTCATTTTTGGCAACAACCACCTCAAACACACGTTTTAAGAGCGGCAATGTTCATACATATGTGAGATTGAGTAGCTTCTTGGCAAGACTCTACTTCGTTTTGTTGAGGGTCAAGAAAACAGCAGACAAAACCAAGTTCCTCACCCCAAGATTCTACAGCTAACACTGCAGCTGACACACAACTAATCTGTGTTACAGAATGAGATGGAAGTTGCAAAAAAATGTCCTCTCCCATCCTCAGGGCCACATTCAGCCCAGAAGGAATCCTTTGAGCTGAAATATCAACCTGAGAAAAGGTATGAAAGAATAGGCTTTATGCCCCTTTTGCTCCTTTCTGATCTCTCAGGTAATTCCTGCATCCTCACTCTCAGGAAGAGGACTTTTCTGACTTTTCTATCTCCTTATTCTGCCCAGCGCTTCTCAGAGAGCTGAAATATTGACATTTCCCCCCTTCCTCTACCTCTTCCCTCCCAAGAACACAACGGCACCAGACGTGCACCCATCCCACCCCAGGGCAGCTGTATTTTCAGGGTATGCAGAGAGACTTTAGTCTCTTTGGAGACACAAATCACTTTTCTACCTCCTCAACAAGATTTGCAGCTCACTTGCTCACGAGTACAAACCAGGTGAAAGCTACAACATGAGCTCTGTGCAGCAACCTGCTCTATGTGCAGCTGTATATCCCAGGGGATGTGGGGACACTCCACTGTGCTCCAGCATGAGACCCTCCTGCCCATATGCACCAGATGCTAAAGGTGGTTCCCATCCAGAATCTGGCGTTGGCCCTGAAGGGTGTTGAGCGCCCTGAACTCCCCAGATTTTGGACATGATGGAGGAGAGAACATGAAGCATGGAGTGGGACTGCTTCCAGAGCATGCCAAGTGCAGGGATTTGGAGCCAATATCTGCTGAGATAGTGAATCAGAGAGTGATTTGAAAACAAAGCAATACACAACCGATCAGGCAAGACAGCAAAATTCCTTGCAAATCGTTTGCAAAAACAAGTGGCCATCCACTGCAATTTTTCTGTCAGATTTGAAGGGAAATATCCTTGTTGCACATTCCTGCATAAGCAAGCTGAGGCTTCACAGGAATGTCTGCATCCCCCTGGACCACTCTCCATGCTGGAGAGGCTTCCCATGCTCCTGGGAAAGGAGCTGCACGGTCAGTCTCTTACATGGCATGGTATTTGTGAAACTGGTGAGGCTGGCTAACAAATCTACTTGCTGCTCCCTTTTTAGCCCTCACTGGTTTGCAGATTTCTGGACATCAGTGACCCACTAGGATCATAAACATCAGGGGCTGACCCTGGTTATACCCACCTTAGATGCCCTCCTTTCAGCTCCCCAATGTCGCTCAACCCTGCTGCACCCCAGGACTGAGAACAAAGAGAAAGGAGGCTCTAGACCACATGGGAACCACCCCCAGAACCACAGCCAGCTTCTGTCTCACTGTGGGCAATGAGAGGCTGGCAGGTAGCATGCTTCACCATTCTTCCCTCCCTTCTTGTGCAGCAATCCTTGATTAGGGGTCATTTATTCGCCTGAGAAGCAGGGCTGTGTTGGCAGCAAGGCTCCTTACAGTCAGGGAGGGGAGGGCAGCCCTGGGCAGTGAAAGGGACGGATGGCTCCTCCCAGCCTTGAAGCAAGGGCAGTTGAGAGCATGAAGAAGAGAGAGGCGAGGACTCCTCAGGGCACAGGGCAACCATCAGCAATTGGGATGACTGTTCCCAGTGGCCCAGTCCTAGTGGCCAACATGGAAAGACTTGACTGTGGAGGACTGACACTTGCTCCAGGACAAGGCAGCAAAGCCAGACCCAAGGAAGACAGGTTGCCTCTGCAGTGAGCAGCCCCTCCTGGGCCCTTGGCTTGGGGACATCTCGGGCTCTCACTACAGCCAACACCTGATCCATGCCTAGGGCCTGAAAAGCCATCAGGCTGGGAAATAAAGTGGCCAGAAAGCCAGGAAGCTTGTTCCTTGAAAAAATGCCTGGCAAGGCATGTCTCCAGACATCAGCACCACCCCTCGCCTTCTCCCAGCAAGAACACTGGGCTACCAAGCCCCAAAGCCAACAGCCATGACAGCACAGGCAGTGGCTGTGCCTAGGGCTCCCAAGCTGGCCAGGAGGAGTAGTTCTTCTCCCCAGCTGCCATTCAATGAGCCTCCAGCTCACTCCTGAGGGTTCAGCCTGCAGTAAAGCTACTCGGCAGAGAGTGCCAGTGGCTGCCACCTCTGCAGGCAGTCAGAGGATTCTAGACATCCCAGACAGATCTGCTCTGGAGCCAGCTCAAATGGAGCAGCCAGTAGGCTGTAACACACAGGGCACATGTGCACCCTTGGCAGTATCAGGGAGATGGAGACTGTCACACTGCTGGCCTGGCATCCCTCGCAGCACCCACGTAAATCCTTTCCAAACAGCGTGGGAAAGGCAAGTTTGCCACTGGGATGAAGTGCTGCAAGAATGGAGCTTGGTTGCTGGGTCTTGCTTCTCCATGGGCAATTCACCCACAGCTCACCCTGTACTGGGGAGAGCTGGGAGTGCTCCCCCACAGAGAGTTTGGCAGAAATGAAGAAGCAAAACCCTCCTAAAGGACTGGAATGGGGAGGGACATGAACAGCATCTCTCTGAACTCCATCAGGTAGAGGAGTCACACCTGTGCAAGACAACAGCACTGAGATAAACATGGGCAGAAACCAGCGGCAGACAGATGATACTCTAGAGATGTGGATGCTTTGTTGGAGTAAGGGATGACAGCAATAGAGAGCTCATGATATAAATAATATGAGGAACAATGAAGCAGAAACCAACTCTGCATCCCCCGGGAGACCCTAGGAAAAGCCTAAGCCCCCAGAGCAGGATAAGCACACACAACTCCTGCAGTCCCCGCTCCCTCCCCATGATCCCCCAACATGGCACACAAGCAAGGCAAATCTGCTCCCAGGCAAGGAAGCAAATTTTAATGCTACCTCTGTCAATAATGCAACCAGATCCATAGTTCAAAAGGAGCTTGCTAATTAAAAGCTGGTGAGCTTTAAATAATTCATCTCCTTAACTTGGATTGATTAGAGAGTTTAATGGTTAGAGTCTTGAAACAATATTAAACGGCCTCTTCAAGGCCCAGGTAGCCAGTGACTTTTCCAAGTAAATCTTACCTCCTTGCAAACTTTAATGCTCAAATGTCACTGAGGATGAAGAGCTGGGAGGCAGAGGGAACACCTGACCACTGGTCTCCAAGAGGTGATCCACTGCCCCGCAGAGAAACAAGACAGGCAAGAGTGATGCAGCCCTGACTCACAGCCCTGTCTACAGCCCAGTAAATCTGAGCTCCTGCCCGTACCACAGCCTGCTGCTGTCCCAGCTCTGCATCCCCAGGGCTAAGCAGCAGGCAGATATATGGCCTCAGTGTCCTGGGCGAGGTCTCCCTCATATCACTTTGATCCCTGGTGCAGAGGAGTTGGGGCATACAGAGAACTCTGCCACTGTTCATCTTGAAGCACTGTTTATCAGTTGTTTCTCTTGGAGCAGGCTGTGGGACCACGAAACTCATCACACACGTGAGCAAACAGGACGATGATTCAGTTCTCCAGCTGGGACCGCGCATCTTCACTCTGCAGTGTGTTTCCAGCCAGCTCCCAAGGCTGTGCTGCCTGGCAGAGCCTCCTTCCCAAGGACGATCACAGCATCCAGAGCAACTCGAGGGCTGGTCCAACAGGAAGAGCATCCCACCTAGCCTGGGGACCCTTGCCCTGTGCTCCACGCACCTCCACGCACCTGCCCCACATCCAACCCCAACCCAAGCACTGCTAGAGCAATCAAGGAGGGAAGCAGCTCCCTAGCCAGAGGGACCTGCAGGTATGTTTGGCACATTGGGATATGCCAGGGACAGGGAGGTCATCCATGTGCCCATCCTGCCCTGACACATCTGCATCCTTTTTACCAGCTGGAGACCCTGCAGTCCTTTGGCTGGCTCTTAGCACCCCAGACTGGACAAGGTCTTGGAGCTGAGGCACGTTCCGCGCACCCGGAGCAGCAGCCGTGGGGATGGGAATGGCACAGGGCAGCAACACTCACCTATCCCGCTGTGAGGCCTCCCTATGTGCTGTAGGTTCAGTCCTTTGTTCATGTCTAAGAGCCCGTTCTTTGGCCAACTCCCCATGGCAAAGCTGTACGCCTGGAAGAGAGAAGCAGAGTGTCAGACAGCACAGCCCATGTGCAGGCATGATTTGTGTTTGCCCAAGTCTGGCTGCTCCCGGGGCTAGCGTAGGTCTGTGTTCACCATGTTCAGTGCAGACCCACACATCACCCTCACAGCAGCTCTCCTGGAGTTGCTCGCACAAAGTACCCTCACCCTGCCCCATCCCACGTGGTGCTCCTCAGAGAAGAGGTGTCCAGAACCTCTGGTGGTGTCCTGTACAGCTGACAACCCTCACGAGGGAGGGATTTGCATCACTCAAGGCTACCTTTGCTGTGCTGGGGCAAGCCAGGGGTTGTGAGCTCATCACCCATGTCCCTTGGTTGCTCCAATAAAATCCCCCCATTCCTGCCTTACTAAAGATGGGGTCATCAGCAGGAGTCAGGGGGATTTGGAAAGGGGCACCCATGCCAAGGCTGGCCTGGCCAGCAGTCCCCTTCTCCTCCCTCCGGAAAGCACAACCCTCCAGGTTCCCTCTCCTTTCCACCCCCAGACCCCAGTTGCTTCAGGGCTCTCCATCGCTGGGTGAAATTCCACTGGGAGACAGCACTGCTCACCCCACTGAACAGAGCCTGCAGCCTGGCCAGAGGGAGCCTGCTCCATCCCCACTGCATCCCCTGGCAGGGTTTCCAGCAGGAGCAAGGCAGCTGGGAGCCTGAGCAGCACAGAAACCCACTGGACAATGCAAACATAAAAGCAGCCAGGGCTCTGTGTGACACGCACAGCTGTAATTACAGCCTGACAGCCACATATCTTCTTCATCTTGAGGAATTAAGCTCAGCAACGCATTGTGAGCAGTAAGAAGGGTGCGTGGGCTTAGCGTCGCTCACGCTGGCACTATCTCTGCTGCCGTGAGGGCCATTGTCCCCAGATGAGATCAGGTCAATCCAGCAGCCCCTATCTCCCTTCTGCAGGGGGGATCATCACTAACTGCAGCCACAGTGTGGCGGGGCATTGCCGACACCCTCCGCAGGCTGCAAATGCCGTGGAGATACTCTGCGGCAGGAAACTGGGCGAGCAGAGCTGAGCAGTGCCCCCCACCAGCCCACCAGCCACCTGACTGCCACTGGGACCTCCTGCCAGCCCTTCTTCCTCGCTACCTGCTGCTCTGCCCAGCACGGGCAGGTCCAGCCCCTGAACAGCCCCGGCTGCCGGCAGCCCCCCCCCCTCCCCCCCCCGAGAGCCACAGGGCTTGGGGGAGTTAATTTATTAGTGGCCCACGTAACCATTCACGCTGCTTTGTTCCTCCTGCCTTAGCAAAACAGAGGGCTCCACAGATAATTAATAGACAGCATTGCTAATCCTGTTGGGAGATGATTAGCAATTAAAACTCCTAATTAAGTCTATGCATAATTCACTGAAATTACACTTTGTGTACACAACGGGGAGGTTTCTTTTGCCTTCGACAAATACACTCTGGCATGTTCACTGCCATGGGCAGGATGCAGGCTGGCCAGCCACGGTGGGGGGGAGCCGGAGGTGCAGGATAGGACCCTGCCACCCATCCACCGGTGACTCTGGATGATGGTGGAAGTGGTTCCACACACGGCTCCCTCTCCTGGGCTCCATCCCACAGCACAGGAAGGTTCTCGCGCTCAGCACCAGCATGATGACAGCACTGGGGGCCATCCCTAGGGAAGGAATGTCCCCGGATGGGGAAAGGCTAGGGGTTTCCCTGCACAGGGAGCTACCATATTGCAGGCTGCCTTCCCAGTCCAGACGTATCCCTTGGACCCTGCCCAGGAGCAACTGAGGGAGCACAGCAGGAGGTTGGCAGGATCTCTGGAAAGCCATGGGGACAACTCTGGAAAGCTCCTGGCAGCTGGGTGCTAGTGCCAATCCTGGCCTGCCTCCCCTGGCTCTGCAGCAGTAGCAGCATCAGCAGGGAGCTGGCAGCACGTGCCCCGACCCTCGGATCAGCACCGGGCCCATCTCTGCACAGCGCTCTGCTTTCCTGATCAAGGTCATTCGGAACAGCCACAATACCTGAGCAAACTAGCTAAGCAGCCAGGGTGGAAGTTGGCCTGACCACTGAAGGTCAAGTGTGCACTTATGCATATTCAAAGCTGCCTGCAGGATCGATCGGGTTTTAATTGTTTTTCCTGGGGTTTTGGAAGGAAGTGCCAGGGGCATTGATCAGTCCCAGACAAGGCTGCTCACACTCTGGGGCTGGCAGGGACCGTCACTGCTGCAGGCAGAGGGAAGTGCAGGCAGTGATGATGAAGGGATGAAGGCCAGGCAGGGAAGAGGTCAGCCAGCCAGCATCGGCCGGGAGGAGGAGCCATTGCCAGGCTGCGCTGGAAAATAAAGTTTTTTAATTAAAAGTGGCAATTCTGAGCCGCCTGCCGGCAGCAGCCACACAATCAAGAGCGAGGAGCTTTGCTGTTTAATATTTAAAGACAACGTTTAATCTTTAAACAGGAAAGTTCTTCTTCTGACTGTTAAAGCGAGGCAGAAAACGCCGGTGGGTCCCCGATGCCGGGGTCCCCAGCCCACAGGGGTGGCCATGGCCACGGGCTCACTGCAGCCACCAGGACACCACCACTGCTCCAGCCCCACACAGCTGCTGGCACTGGCACAGACCCCTGTCCCTTCAGCATTTATCCCTATGGCAAGCTGTGAAAAAGTCTGAGACACCCCTGGTTCGCTCGCAAGCCAAAGGATTTAAAAAAATGCCATGAAACCCTTTCTGAGAGGAAACCGCGCTATTTTGCCCCTCCCTCCAGTTCAGTCCTGGTGTTGCAGCGACTGGGTTGCTCCCTTATAGGTCAGATGCTGAAGCAGGGTGAGGACCCTGAGGCTTTTTATTTTTATCTGCATTTTAATTGATAGAAAACGCAGACATCTTTTAAAAAAGCTATTTTTTAAATGTTTTTGGCCAGAATCCTGATTTAGAGAGAAACTCAATGCTTCTGATCTTCCAAAAGCCACCCAAACAACGATGGCAGAATAATTTCCAAGCAGCTTGGATACAATTACTTCATTCATACAAGCTCCTAGAAAGGTTTTCCTTTTTCTCTTGATTTTGTTTGTAATTCTATGAAGGTTACATTTACCTCCCTGCCAATGCTGCTCTGAAGTCAGATGATTATTAATTATATTTATTTACTTATACAATCCCATAGGCATACGCAGCAGTTCACAGACAAATACTGCCCTGGGTCCCTGATGGAGGGATCTCGAATCAAAGGTAAGCAGATACTCCTGTGATAAATGTGAGCTAACAGCAGCAGGAGATTAGTAATATACTGTGTTTCCATGCATAGAGCCAGCACCACAGATAATCCACACCTTGTTAAAAGTGCTGGTATGGGGAGGTAGGTCCTTAGGTAACCTGTACCTCACATATCCTGCAGAAAATCCAAAAACCAGAAGTGAGGATAAAACATGGGGTACAGCAGCCTGGGGCATGGAGATGATGTGTGTGTAGAATCATAGCATCTGAGGCTGTATTTATAATAGAGCAAAAAAGGGTCTGAGACCATCCTCTCCCGTTGCACCAGGTCACAAACCCTCCTGGTGGCCGTAATGCATCTGCCTCAGTCTGCAAAGGGCCTGAAACAAGAGCTCCGTGGCTTATTTCTGGCACTGCTGGGGTCCCCTCTGTGCTGGGGCAGGAGCACATGGAGCACATGACTGTGGGGTTGGGCAGTCCCGTGGAGCACAGGATTTGTGCGGTCTGGCACTGAGTTTGGCCTGCCTGCCCTTGCTGCAGTCCCAGTGCACCTAACCCCAGGAATGCCGGGGCTGGCAAGGCGGCAGCACCAACACGGTTGGCTCCTGATGTGGTGCTCCCTGGAGTTTGTTCGAGCTGCACACCATGGATTATAAGCAGCAGAGCTGCAGAGAAGATGTTCCAGGGAGTCAGAAAATTCCAGGAACTGGAACTTGTCAAGCTGATGTATTGATCTAAGTGGACTGAATAATGCTCCATCATTTATTTATGGGGAAGTGCCCGGCACACTTCACGAAAACTGGTGTTCGGCAGGCACATTAAGGCAAAATTTAACATCCTACACCATGCAAACAGGTCACCTGTGCAGAGGTCAGGATGCTCACTTACATGAGGAGCCCCACAAATCCTTCTTGCACGCACAGGAAGAGACAGGGCTGGTCCTCGCGGAGCTGCTGGAGCTCTGTCAGGGCAATGTGTCGATGCTGACAGAGCCAGCCCTGTCCTTTCTGCACGTGTCTGTCGATGCTGTGACCTGCTGGCCAGCCCCTGGCCCCTCTGCCCTCCACTAGAGCTGCAGGCATTGCATGGCCCTGGGTGCTTTAGCTGAAGGGCAGGAGGGAAGCAGGGCTTTGTACTTTGCAATGGCATGAGCATGTTCACAAACCACAGCAGCAAAAACTGCCAGGACCAGCATAGTCTCTCCTCCTACCCTGACCAGCAGGGCAACTCTGTCATTTTATTTTACAGGTCCTACCAAGAGGTTTTATATGTTTCATCTGCTAATTGTAATTTTAATATTAATACAGACACTTTCAGGCAGGGAGAAAATATTTCCTTTGGAAAAAATTCTCCCAGGAGTAAAGGGGCTCAGCAGTTTGAGAAGATGCTAAAGGGTGGGTAGGAAGGAATAAGAGAAGAGGTGTTTTTTGCTCAAAGTTTTCATTCAGAATTTAAAAAAGACACCTGAGAAAAACATGTGTTTAACCAGACAGAAAGTGGCTGCGACATCTCCCAGCTGCCCTTGGCCTGGGCAAGCAGCAGGTGCCAGCTGTGCTCCCCTAGTATCAGGCTGGGCACAGCTGCCTGCTGACCAAAGCTGAACCCCCTGACATTTTCACAACGGAGAAAATGTCTTTGGAACAGAAAAAGCATCTTCCTCCTCTTGTCACGTCAACTGCGCGCTGTGTCCGCCCAAAATAAGCATTTGCCTTTAACTCCTCTCATCCTGCTGCTGCCACAATGAGGTGTCAAAGTTTTATATTTCCTCATATGGTGGGAAGAAAAAAAGAGGTCATGGCTATGA